CTTAGACTCAGGAGTTTGAGACTAGCCTGGGAAACATAGCGAGACCTTGTCCCTACTAAAAATCAAAGAATTAGTCGGGTGTGGTGGTGGGTGCCTGTAATCCCAGCTACTTGGAGGCTGAGGTGGGAGGATTGCTTGAGGAGAAGGAGGCTGCAGTGAGCGATGATCATGCCACTGCACTTCAGCCTGGGCAACAGTGAGACCTTGTCTCAAAAAACATAAAAAGAAAAAAGAAACACAGGCCTGTAATCAGCGGGGGATTCTGAGTCTGGGCCAGAGATAAAGTTGGGAGGCACATGGAGAAGAGTAAAAGCCACAGGAGTCAACAGACATTTATAGCAAAGCAAGTAATGGTAATAATAGCAACTAATATTTACTGTATGCTGACACAGTGCCAGGTACTGCACTCATCACTTTACATAGATTTGCACATTTAATCCTAAGAGGCAGGAATATAACCATCTCCAGTTTACTTATGAAGAAACCCAAGCATACAGAATCTTGATAACATCTGAGGTCACATAGCTGATAAGCAAACAGAAAGAGGAGAAACACTAACATCTAAACAGTGGGTGGAGAAAAAGGAGCCCCTGATACAGTGTAAAGAGGAAAATGCTGAGAGGTTAGATTGTAGCAGGGACAGGTGGTGTCTTGGAACAGGGAAGTTCAGGAAGGAGAGGCTCACAGGGTCAGGTGCCACTGGGAGGTCAGGTGAGAGAAAGACTGGAAAATAACCCCTGCCAATTTGGAGGTCACTGGTGACCTCAGTGAGAATGCTAACAGTGGCAAAGAAGAGCCTTGTTGAGGCAGGTAAGTAAGCCACAGAAAGCAAGGAAGTGGGGATTCAGAAAGACAACTGGCTGAGAAGGCAAAGAGACAGAGGCAAGCAAGCCAGAGGGAGATGGATGGGCAATGTCTACATTCTAATAGTACGAGGCCAGGCGCAGTGGCTCACGCCTATAATCCCAGCACTTTGGGAGGCCAAGGCAGGCAGATCATGAGGTCAAGAGATTGAGACCATCCTGGCCAACATGGTGAAACTCTGTCTCTATTAAAAATACAAAAATTAGCTGGGCGTGGTGGTGCACCTGTAGTCCCAGCTACTCAGGAGGCTGAGGCAGGAGAATCGCTTGAACCCGGTAGGCGGAGGTTGAAGTGAGCTGAGATCGCGCCACTGCACTCCAGCCTGGCAACAGAGCGAGACTCCATCTAAAAAATAAAATAAAAAAAGTGAGTGTGAAACTATCAGAACATCAATGGTTTCTATTAACTAAGGACTCTAGGATCTCTACGTTGATGAGCTCAGTTGCTTCTAAGAGGGAGGTGGCATATGACAACACTGAAGGCGTGTTACTGTCGCTGACTCATTCAGTCCTTACCAAAAGACGGTAACAAGAATCATTACCAGCTTATTTTTAAAATGAGGAAACTGAGGCACAAAGAGGTAAAGTACCCTGTCCAGGCCATGTAACTAGTAAGAACCCAAGTCAGACTACGATCTCAGGTACTCAGGCTTTTGACTGCTGTTCAAAACCTCCATAAAGGCTAGGTGCGATGGCTCACGCCTGTAATCCCAGTACTTTGGGAAGCCGAAGCGGGCGGAATACCTGAGGTCAGGAGTTTGAGACCAGCCTGACCAACACAGTGAAACCCTGTCTCTACAAAAAATACAAAATTAGCCGGGCACTGTGGCACATGCCTGTAATCCCAGCTACTCAGGAGGCTGAGGCTGGAGAATTGCTTGAACCCGGGAGGTGGAGGCTGCAGTGAGCCGAGATCGCGCCACTGCACCCCATGCTGGGCAACGAGAGCAACACTCCATCCCCCCCCAAAAAAAAGACTCCATTTCACAACCTCTGTAAATACTGGCATGCAAAGGAAAAAGTAAAATCTATGCAGAGAAAAAGTTGTAAGAATGAAATTAAGTGTTTTGTTCACACTAAGTATTATTTTTGATGTCTACTGAAAAATTATTAAGTCAATTCATCAAATATTAATTAAGTTCCTACTGTCAGGCTCCGGGAGATACAATATGAACAAAGACACAGGGTCACTGGAAGACACAAAGAATAAGCAAGGAACTTGGGGCTGGTGAGCATTGCATGACGAGGGAGCCCCTTGATGCGGTGAGAGGCAGCACTGAAGCCAGACTGCCTGGGTTGTGGCCTTGGACATGTTACTAAATAACCTGTGCCTGCATGTCTCCTTTAAAATTGATAAGAGCATCTACTACCCTTGGGCAATGGAATGTACAGAGGGTAGGACCAATCAGGGAAGGAAAGGGAGGCTTTAGGTTCAAGTCACAGGCTCTGGAGTCAGACAAGAAGGCTTTGAATTCCAGCTCTCCTACTCACAGGCTGTGTGATCTTGGGCAAGTTACCTAACCTCTGTAAACCCCGGTTTCCTCACAGGCAAGTGATGAGGGTGAAATGAGCTAATTCTCATGCAGCCACACACAACAGGTGCTGGATAAACGTTAGGCATTGTTATTGCAGTGAAGACAGTTCTGGCTGGAGGTAGGGCAATCTCAGAGGAGTGGGAGGTAAAGCCCAGAGGACTTGAGGGTTAAGTGTAAGTAAGCAAGACTGAAGAAGGGCGGAGAAGGGTCAAGGTCAGGGGGAAGTACTCACGTTGGTGAAGGGAGGCTTGTGATGCTGGTACTCAATCCAAGGAGGGACAGCCAAGGTGCGGTTTAGCAGCTTTGCAAATGCCAGAGAGCCCAAGAAGTGATCGGCCTGGTTCCCAAAGCGCCCTGGAAATGGTACATTGTGGGTGAGGTGAGGCCTGGGGCATGGAGGGCATAGAGCATGCAGGGCTCAGAAAGGTTGTGGAGCCAGGGGTAGAAAGTCAGGGATACCAAGGAGAACTAGGGGACCTGGCAGCATAAGAACAAGTCTGGACTCTTGGGTCTGATATCCAAGGCTCTTCAGGTCCTGCAACAACTGCTTCTGCCACTCCAGGCTTCTTGCTGTTTCCCCAACATGCTCTACAATTCCCATCCCCACCCAATGCCTCTGATCTTGCTGTCCCTCAGCCAGAAGAGCCCTTCTACCTTTATCTCCATTCACCTGCACATGGAAGGGCAACTCGAATGCCTCATTCACTGGGCTCCTTTCACCAATCCCCTGCCATACTCACTCTCCTCCTTTACCTCCCACTTTGGCTCTGAGTTACTTCAGTTCTTCAATTTTCCTCAAATATCTTTTTTCACTTCCTGACCTTTGTACTGGCTGATTCCTCAGCCTGTGAATGCCTCAGAAGCAAGGACCCTGTGTAATTCCTTTTGTTAATCCCAGCGTGCCATCTGTTCGTTCATTTCACAAATATGACTGAGAGGCCACAATGTGCCAGACTCTGTGCTAGGTGCTAGGATACAGGAATGAACAAGAAAGACAAGGCCTCTGCCCCCAAGGCACTCACAGTTCACTGGGGAGACACTAAACGTATAAATAAATACATGAAAAATGTTGATAATTGCCAGAAAGAGATGGAAAAAGTTTGGTGATAGGGTAATGAGACTACTTGGGTAGAGGTCGGTGAAATCCTTTCTGGTGACATTTAGGTTGAGATCTAAAGGATGGGAAACAGTGGTCAGGTAGAAATGGAGGAGAGGGTTCGAGGCATAGGGACTGCCACCTGCAGCAGTGCAGACTGGAAGACCTGAGCATGTGTGAGGAACACAAAGGAGATAAGTGTGGCTGCAGCTGAAGGATCAGCAGAGAAGGGAGTTGCGGAGATGGCCATTGGAGGCTACCTCATGCAGGGCCCTGAAAGCCATGGTCAGGAGTCTGGAAGCCACTGGGGGCTTTAAGATCATCCACTTCCACAATTCTGATCCACCACACCCATTTCAACTGTGCACCTGGCATGGCCTTTAGATTCTCCCTACCCTACTCTATTTCCCCTTAGTATTCATCATCCTCTATGAAACTATGTACTTATTGTTTTATGTTTATCCCTTACTGGGTTTGTTTGCTTGTTTCGAGACAAGGTCTCACTCTGTCACCCACGCTGGCAGTGTAGTGGCAAGATCAGAGCTCACTGCAGCCTCGAATTCCTCAGTTCAAGAGATCCTCCCACCTCAGCTTCCCAAGTAGCTGGGACTACAAGCACATGATACCACGCTCTTTTTTTGAGACTGGATTTTCACTATGTTGCCTAGGCTGATCTCGAGCTCCTGGCTTCAAGTGATCCTGCCTCGGTCTCTCAAAGTACTGGGATTACAGAAGTGAGCCACCGCGCCTGGCCTACTTATTCTCTATTGGTTGTCTTCCTCAACTAAAATGAAGGCTCTACAAGGACGCAGAGTTTATCTTATTCACTGCGGTATTCCCAGCACGGAGAACAGGGCCTGGCACTGAATAGGTGCCCCATAAATATTTGCTGAATGAATGAAAAATCACCAGGAGCCAGCGTGGGTCAGTGACATCAAGTCCTGCCCCAGTAACTCCATTTACTGGACCCTGGGCTAGCTTAGACCTCTAGCAAGTCACATAACCTCTCCCAGCCTCAGTTTTCTCATCTGTCAAATGGAAGGTTGGACACGTTGGCCCCCCTGTGCCCTTGCAACTAGGGCAGAGAGGAGAAGAGCATGCCCTGTCCCGCTCTGAGGTTCTCTCCTGGACCTGTGAAGGTGTCTCTGGGCGCATCAGAGGAGTTGCTTCTCCTCTCCCGGCCTCGGTCTCTCCATTTGAGCAGAGGGCTCGGGAGGCCTTACCCATGCAGGGGCAGTAGAGCAGGTAACCGGCCGGGTCCCAGGAGCCCGCGGGCATCCCCGGGAGCGGCAGAAGCAGCAGCAGGAAAGGCACGCGCAGCGGCGGTGCCCACGCGGCGGCGCCCATGTCGGCCCGGGAACCCGAGACAGCCGCGGCGAACAGTCGGGGAGAGAAGGAGGGACGCAAGCGCCCGCCCCGCTCCCGGCAGTCCCTGCGCGCCGCCCGCGCGCCGCCCCGGACGCTCTAGCCCGCGGGCGGGCGGGACCATAGAGATCCCGCGGCACCGCCCCCTCCACGACCCGAGCGCCCGCTCGCGCGGCTCCCACAATGCACCGCACAATGGCCCGACCGCCGCCACTACCGGGGCCTGAGCGGGCCTGGCGGAGCCCGAGCGCGGCCCGGCCCGCAGCGCGGGGCCCCGAGCGCGGTGAGTGCCGGCGAGGGCCCCAGGGGACGGCGGGGAGCGGGGCGGGAGGCCGTCTCGCTGGGTCCGCGCGCCCTGTACCCGGAGCGGCGGCGCCCCTCATCTCGGGCCCCTCAGGGCGGTCGCCCACACCCCCGATCCCGGGCCCGGTCTGCGCCAACCCGGCCTCAGATAGGCCCTGGGGTGACGAAAACTCTCCCTGGACCCCATACCTGTGTCTGGGGGACCCGAGGAAGCCACTGGTCCCCTCCTTTCCGAGACTTGGAGACGCAGTCCTGAGGGACCCCCACTCCCGACCCCCAGGCTCCCTGGAGACCCAGATAACGCGCTGCTGACCAGGGACCCGGGTCTGAGGGACGCAGATAAGGTGCACCTGCTCCTTCCCTCCGACACGCCTACCCAGACCCACATAACCCCCTTTGCTGCTCCAGATAGCCCGCTCTGTACCCTGTTTCATTTTTCAGACTTATGTAACCCCCTTTGAGGCTTCCCTCAAATATCTGGGTCTGGAGAAGTCGGATAAGCCCCACCTGTAGTTCCCTCCTCAGTGGCCATACTCCCAAGTTTTCGACATCTTCCATCCTGTTACCCATTTTGAGACCCTCTTGAAATTCGGAGGATTCACTTCTGACTATCCCCAACCCCCCAGCCCTCCAACCCTTAGAATCCCCCATCTCATTCTTGTGGGGATCCCTTAGAGACCCAGGAAACTTGCTCACGATTCCTTCCCATCCTCGCTCTTCCTTCCTATCCCGGAGACTCCCTCCAGACTTCTCCCTGAATTTCCCTTGCTTCTCCAGCCCTCATCTACTCCCATCTCTCCCAGGCTCGGGGAAATTGAACCTTTCCCACACCACAGTGGGGTGGTCTAAAAGCTGGCCTGGGACCAGGCTGTGGCCCACCTTGGTGGGGAGAAAGGGCCCTATTAGGAGGAGAATATGGGGACAGCTGTGTGGGGGAATCGGTGCTTTCACCTGCAAGCATAGCCTGTCTCCTGGCTTGTGTGTTTTTCCACCTGTCAGCCATGGGACTGTGAGTCTGGCCTTGGGTTTCTAACCCTTCTCTCCTAAAGTGAGGCCACCAGATTCGGGGCGGGGGTGTCGAATCAGGTTTTCTCCCCATGAAAATGAGGTTGTGATGAGTTGCAGCCATTTGTTCAAGGCCTCCCCAGGAGTGGGAGGCAGCAGGAATCTGAGGAAATAGTGAATCAAAGGGACTCTAAAGAGGGCCCATCTACACTGACAGAAGAATTAGCAGCCTGAGAGTAAATCCAACCCCTGTTAATCCTGTTTGATGTTTCTTGGAATGATGCAAGTCATTGAGACTCTCCAGCCTCCCTGTAATTTAATTCTCCCACCACTCTGGAGTGGGCGGGGGGAAGGGGGCGACAGCATTCCCATTTCCCCTCTTCTCACTGTTTTCCAGCCAGCCAGTGTGTCTTTAGGATTTGTTTCTGGTTCCGAGATCAGGATCTGTTTTTTTTTTCTTTCCTCTAAGTCTATTTATAATTTCCCAGTTGCTATTTTAGGTTCTGCTTTAGGGAAGATTCTACCCCAAGGAACGTTCCGGGTCTATTTCCTCCGGCAGGTGTTGAATTGAGTTCTTCAGATCCCCAAGTAACTCTTGGGCAGGAGGATAAAAGCTATTTTAGGGTAGTCACTGAAGTGGAGCTGTTAATCCTCTGTGGGTCTCTTTAGTTAAGAACACTCAAAGATTAACCCTTTCCTTGTGCAGGGATGTTATCTCTTAACAGTTTTTTAGGGGGGAGTTAGGAGAATTTGAGTGTGGTAGCAGAAGGTGGAAACACGCAACTCAATACAAAGACAAAGATAATAGCTCTCTTTTGTTGGGTACTTCTAGCAGGCCAAGCCCTGTGCTGAGCCCTTTGCATACCTCACTAAAATAATCCTTACAGCAAGCCTGTGAGGTAAGTATTTTTAGCTTTACAGATGAGGAAACAGGCTAATAATGGAGAAAGAACGCAGTTTCTATAGAAATGATGTAACACCATAAAAACTATAGTTTCATCAGAGGGCAGCAGGCATCATGGCACATAACAGCGGATGGACAGACTGGAGAGAAATATGTCTCAGTTTCAGCTTCCAAAGAGGACCATACAGAGTTTTTAGCAAGCATTCCTGTTTGGGATATGGAGCCCTAATAATAGAAGAGGGTATAGGAAAGTGGCTGTCTGCTCAAGAGAGAACTCTGGCCCAGGAGATGGTGCTTAGAGGGAGGTAAAGTAAAGGGCTCTTTAAAGGGGATGTGCCGAGGGTTAGTTGTGAGGGAAAAGGGGAAGACTGCATTCTGGGGGAGAGGTTGGGAAAGGAAGGAAACTCACTCTGAGGCCTGAGAAGTAACATTAAAGAGGAAAAAAAGAAGTACTACTCAGGCCTCATGCGGAAAAAGAGGCAGACACAGCTGAGACCTCAGAGAAGGCACTGCGTGTATTCAGCACACATTTTGTATCAGCCAGTTTCAAGAGTATTATTTCACTTAATCCTCTATACGAATCTTACAGGTAAGGAAAATAAATCCCTATTTTAGAAATTGAGGAAACTGAGGTTCAGAGAAATAAAGTAAACTGCCTGTGGTTTCCCGGTTAGTAAGTGGCAGCTCTTCTGATAGCAAGTCCAAGGTTCTTTCCCCTTTCAGATCAGGCACTAGAAAGAATCTTAGGCTGCAAATATACTGAGTTATGCCAGTAACTGGGAAGGATTGTGTTTGTTTTATGGAAACAGGTTCTGTCAGCTTCTCTGTAGTCTATAGTCGTTAAGATTAAAATGTGAGACCAGAAGAGCAGCTTTGAAAGAGAAGTAGAATTCTTTCACAGTTTTGCTGAGGAAGGACAAGTCTGAAGGAACAGACCTTCTGATTATGTGAGACAAACCCAGGAATCTTTCTGGATCAGAGGAGTTTGCAGACAAAGGGCAGAGAGAGAGACAGACTAGATCCCCAAAAGGGTTCATAGGTAACACTAGCAGCTTTGGTTATCCAAGAGGCTGCTGGTGACTGTAGGTAGGGACTTCCTGTGCCTTTTGAAAAGTGTAGGAGAGTAGGATCAGGGTGTTGGCTCTTTGTGAAGACATAGCTCCATTAAAAGCAGATCACGGTGAGCGCATGGCTGCTGCTTTCCTCCTTTGGTTCTATCAGTACAAGCTCCTTAGCCACCACCAGCCTCTTTCCTAGAAGCCCATTACTCACTCTTTCGGTAGCAGCCTACTAAACTATTGTGTCTTGTTTGTGCTTGTTCAGAACAGATGAGGTGGACGTGTGGGAGGTGGGGACGTAATGTTCTCTTTCTGAGTTTGTGTGGAGTTTCCAGGGCTAGGCTCCTCTCTCACATCAGCCAAACTGATGTGACTTGTTTCCTTCTGGCTGCCATTCCCAACTTTCTAGAGGCTGAGGTGCATGATTTCAAAATGAAGGGGGAGTAGAATTTGACTTTGAAGGTAGGGGTAATTCCCTCCAATCTAAACATGCACACTCGAGCACACTGTCTGCTCAATTCCAAGGTGCATAGTAATCGCTGGTATTACAGGTAATTCCACCCTTGCAAAGGAGGAGGGGACTTAAACAATGAAAGCCAGACGTCACAGGCCTTTGAGGTTTATAGTGAAGCAGGCACATATGCCATAATGACTCGAAGGCTGAAGTGGGACTGGTTTTTAGTGCTACCTACCCCTCCTCAGCATGTGATTCATGCAAAATGCAGCCATCTTAGTGCAGATCTTTCTAGACAAATCTACACTCATGTTTATCATATTATATCGCAGTGTTTCTTCCACAAGAGGAATGGTTCCTGAACAGGACGTAGCTCATGTTAATGATGAGCAAAGCTCTCTGGGGCATGAACCCGCTGATCCCATCATCTTGTTCACGGCCAGTCTGTTGGATGAATGATCACTGTAAGCAGCAGGTGCTAATGAGCTGAGCAAGCATTCTGTGGCCCACAGCTAGTTTGTGCAGTTGGAGCCCTCCCCAGATTCTCGTGGATAATCCCCAGACACCCCTTTTTCTCTCTTCACATGGAAAAGCCTCATGATCAAATTTTGGCACGATCTCTTCAAAGGGAATCCCCCTGTTGTAGCAGGTTGCATTGTGGTTGGTAATCTGTGGTAAGCTCGAGAGTATGAATGTGGGTCTCGTGCCCTTTTGAGAGTCAATGTGGTAACTCCCATCCTTTTCCTCTGGATTGGTATCCGGAAAGGAGTTGTGTCATCCTTGCACATCTCCCCCTCTATTCAACAAGAGAAAGAATCAGACTTTAAGATTTTGGCTCCCCACTTGGGAATGGCTGCGAACCCAGTTTAAACCAGAACTACTTGGGCATAGGTTGGTCCCTGAGAATCAGCCTGCATTCAGTGACTAGTTAACCTATCTGAAATAAAGTTGAGGTTCCTTTTTTAGATATTAGGTATATAGAGATGAAAGAGAGATGATGCAAGCCCTCAAATAATCAGGCTGGTGGAGAGGAGTAAATTCCAATGCGAGCTTACTACCTTCTTCTAATGGAGATGTGCATATGTACTCTGAGGGCCTGTAGGAGGGGCCCCTCAGCACCTAGGGGTGTTGGACAGGCTTTGCTAAAGAGGGATGGTCTGGGCCCTGAGACAGAGACCCAAAGAAGTGGTGGTGGTCAGGATGGGACCAGTCCTGGTTTAGGGAAAATGCTAGGAATCTGCTGTTGCCTTCCCAGACAGACCCTCCTGATGTTGATGCACTGCTAAGAAACACATCTGGTACCAGGGCTGACAATCCAGGATGTAAATTTCCTTAGTAGAGACTTCCCCTTCCTCCTCTCTTGCCTTTTGGGCATTTTATTGCTCCTTCGCACCTCCATGAGGAGGAGAATTGTGGAAAGTAGTGGATGAGGAGGTGCCAGAGTAATGAGAAGGAGGAACTGCTATCTCTAGGTTCAGTGGAAAGGATTTAAAAGTAAGGTCCAGAAGAAAAAGTTTGAAGTTTTGGGGCTTTTGGTTCTTCAGTTTATCTTGTTTCTTATTAGCCTAAATGGTACTAGTAATAGTAGCTACCACTAAGGACTTAATGGATGCCCAGCCTTCTGCTGAATGCTTTATATTCATGATCTCATGTAATCCTCAAAACATTTTTACAATTTAAGAGATTATTATGCCCATTTTATAAATGAGGAAACAACTCAGGGAAGTAAGTAATTGGCTGAAAGTCGCACAGCTTCTAAGTGGAAGGGCTGGGATTGGAACAGGATCTGTCTGCCTCCAGAGCCCATGTTCTCATGATATTGGGCTCCCTAACACCAGGTGTTCTGATGTTTCAGGTGAAGAGATTGTTTTCTGAAAGCTGCGTTGGAGGCTGTGACAGAGCTGAGAGCCTGTGTGGAGCGGATGGAGAGGCTTTCTCAATAACATGGCCCTTTGCCATTAGCCTTGCCATGACCACATTTTTCACCAGCGTCCCCCCCTGGATTCAAGATGCAAAGCAGGAGGAGGAAGTGGGCTGGAAACTAGTTCCCAGGCCTCGGGGCCGGGAGGCGGAGAGTCAAGTGAAGTGCCAATGTGAAATTTCGGGGACACCTTTCTCAAATGGGGAAAAGCTGAGGCCTCACACCCTTCCGCAACCAGAACAGAGACCATATAGCTGCCCTCAGCTGCACTGTGGCAAGGCTTTTGCTTCCAAATACAAGCTGTATAGGTAGGTGACACTCTCATATCTCTTCTTGCCCTGTGGTTCCCAGAGGGAAAAAGCAGAGAGACTCTGCCTAGAGTGGGTTTTTAATCTGTGGCAGAAGAGTGGAGGTTAATTTGTCCTACAAGTATACCCTGAATGCCAAACAGTTGAAGTCACTCTCTAAAAATTGATTCAGATTGCTTGATTCAGACACTAGAATCTGATGGGTTGCCTCCCAAACTATTGGGATTACCGGCGTGAGCCACTGCACCTGGCCTTCTTACACCTTCTTAGTAACGATCTGGGTGCCAATGTCAGGCAGCCTTGAACTTTTTTTTTTTAAAAGAGATGGGAATCTTGCTCTGTCATCCAGGCTAGAGTACTGTGGTGCAGTCAGCTCACTACAGCCTCCAATTCCTGGGCTCAAGTGATCCTCTCACCTCATTCTCCCAGGTAACTAGGATTACAGGCTTGAACCACTGCACTTGATTATGTTTTTAATTTTTTGTAGAGATGGGGGTCTGACTGTGTTGCACAGGCTGGTCTCAAACTCCTGGGCTCAAGTGATCTTCCTGCCTTGGCTTCCCAAAGCTGTGAGATTACAGGCATGAGCCACCGTACTTAGCCCTGAACATTTTTAAAAAATATTGCTTTCCTCACCTTTGCAGGTGATGGTCAGAATTTTAGCTAGAAGTTAGGAATCAGGAATCAGTATTCGAACTTTAGAAGGAGAAGTAGACCTTTTGGCCCATTCTGTAAATTTTAAAGTAGAGGCTCAGAGTAGGGATGTAACTTACCCAAGGTCACACAGCTTCAGAGGTCCTGCAGTGCCTCTTCTACTGAATCAGCCTGCTACTTACTTATTTAACTATGTCTGTGTCCCTGTTGCCCACTGGGGCAGCTGCTTTTCTGAAACTTGTAAGCCCAAGAACCCCTACTTAAAGGGAAATTAAATGTAAAAGTCCTGACATAAGGCAGATAGAGAAGAGCAGCTTTGGTTGCTTTGGTGAAGACAGGCAGGCATAGTCAAAAGCAATTTTGGGCCTTGCATGGTGGCTTGCACTTGTAATCCCAGCACTTTGGGAGGCTGAGGTGGGCGGATCACTTGAGGCCAGGAGTTTGAGGCAAGCCTGGCCAACATGGCAAAACCCCATCTCTACTAAAAATTTTTAAAAATTAGCTGGGTGTGATGGTGCATGCCTGTAGTCCCAGCTACTTGGGAGGCTGTGGCAGGAGAATCACTTGAACCCAGGAGAAGGAGGTTGCAGTGAACTGAGATTGTGCCACTGTACTCCAGCCTGGGTGACAGAGCGAGACTGTCTCAAAAAAAAAAAAAGGGCAATTTTGATTTTATCCTTTTCACGTTAGAGGAACCTTGAACTTGCCCTTTAGAAATGAGGTAGATTGGCCTGATGCACAGTCATCCAACCATCCATTCATCTACCCAACGTTATTGAGCTCTTGCTCTGTACCAGGCACAGTGCTTGGTGCAAGCGGTAGAGGAGTGAGCCAGTCAGATGGGGGTGCTGGCCCTCCTTGGGTTTATGGTCTTAATAGTGGGTACAGACAGTAAACAAGTAAATACATGAACAAGATGACCACAAAGCCTCAGTTCCTCATCTGGAAAATAGGAAGGGACTAAAATAGGCAACAGGGTAGTGTGGTAGCCAGGATTGCCCTCTTGACAGTTGTTCTGTGGTCCTCAGGAGTGCTTAGATTCTCTGTGTGCTCCTATATCTTAAGGGAACTCCAGTCAAGGCCATATTCTTAGGCTTTCTTTTTTTTTTTTTTTTTTTTTTGTTTTGTTTTGAGACAGGGTCTCACTTTTGCCCAAGCTGGAGTGTAGTGGCGTGATCATAACTAACTGCAGCCTCAAACTCCTGGGCTCAAGTGATCCTCCTGCCTCAGCCTCCTGAGTAGCTAGGACCACAGGCATGTACCACCACCACACCCGCTAATTTTTGTACATTTTCTAGAGACAGAGTCTCTTCCCTGTGTTGCATAGAGTGGTCTCAAACTCCTGGCCTCAAGCAGTCCCCCCACCTTAGACTCCCAAAGTATTGAGATTATTGGCATGAGCCACTGCACCCAGCCGCCTTAGACTTTCTTAATGATGGTCTGGTTACCAGTGGGCGGCTGCAGGAAAGGTCCTGGGTCAGGAGGCAGGAGCCCTGACTCATCATGTATAATTTACTACGTGATCTTAGGTGAGTTACTAAACCTCCTTGGGCCTCAGTTTCCTCACCTGCAAAATGAGGGAAATGAACAGTGGATCACTAAGCACCTCCCTCTCTACATTACCATGTCAGTTCCATCACAGGAGGTTGACAGTAACCCACACAGGCATGAGCATTCTTGAGCATGCACATGTGGGATGTGGGCAGTGGGTGTGTTTGATACCCTCCAGGTGGAAAGGATCACAGAGTGCTGTACGAGAGAGACAACTGTTGCATACCTGACTGAACACAGGTCTTCCGAAGGCCTGTTTAAATCCAGCCTCTGCTACTTACCAACTGGCGGGTGAGGGGGCCGCCTTATTTTTTAGACTCCTTTCCTTGTCTGGAGATCAAGGTTAATGACACAACTTACGCAGAGCCTGGCAAACAGTGGGTGCTGAGTTGATTCTGAATATGCTCTGGAGCTGTGAATTGCAGTTCCTGGATTCTGAGCCACTTTTCAACCGTATAGGATCAGGTAAACCAAGGGACACTGAAGTGCCATACCATTAAAACATTTCTTGAAGTGTTACTGGTTTACATGACAAGCACTTCAAGTGGTACTAACTGGCATGCCATGAAGAGTGAATGGTCCTCACACTTGAAGTCCCTGTTCCTCTCCCCAAAGGCAGCTGGTGCGTTGGTTTTTGTGTATCTTTCCTAAGACATTCAAACATGTATATTCCCTTTCTTTTTTATTTTCAAAAAAGATTGTATTACATGCACTGTATTGAACTTCCTTTTTTGACTTAGCCCTACATATCTTGGAAATTTGTTCTAGATAAGGAAGTTAATTTATTTATTTAGAGACGAAGTCTCACTCTGTCACCCAAGATGGAGTGCAGTGGTGCGATCATAGCTCACTGCAACTTCGAATTCCTGGGCTCAGGTAATCCTGCCTTAGCCTCTTGAGTAGCTAGGACTACAGGTGCGTGCTGCCATGCCCATCTAATGTTTAAGATTTTGTAGAGACAAGGTCTTGCTATGGTTCAGGCTGGTCTCGAACTCCTGGGCTCAAACGATCCTCCTGCCTCGCCCTCCCATAGTGCTGTGATTACAGGCGTGCACCACTGTGCCCAGACTGGAAGTTTAGATATATTTCATTTTCTCTTTATTGTATCATTTAAAATTATTTAAATGTAATGTTTGAAAAACGAAATACATCCACGTAATTCAAAATTCAAAAGGTATCAAAACTTATATGATGAAAATTCTCCATGACACCCATCCATAAGCTGTTCGGTTCTTTTTTGCATAGGCAGCCACTGGTATCAGTTTCTTGTATATCCTTCCAGAAATATTTTAGGCATGTACAAGCAAACGTACATATATTTTTCCCCTTTTCACATAGAGTCCTATTCTGTATCCACTATTCTGCCTCCTTGCTTTTTTTCTATTTCCTGTCTCTTAGGAGCATGTTCCCTGTAAGTACACATAAAGCCTCATTTTTGAAAAGTTAGTCATTTTATGGACTTATCATAATTTATGTAACCAGTTCCCTATTGATAGATTGGATGATCAGATTGTTTATGATTTTTTTTTTGCTACTACAAGGAATGCTGCAAAGAACATCGGTACACATTATTTTGCAGATAAGCAAGGATATCTGTAGAATATAATTGGTTTGGTATTGCATTGCAAGCCTTTACCATAGTTTTTGTATCTAGTTTCCTGTTAATGGACACCTTGGTTGTCCAGTCATCCCTTGTGATCTCCCCTTTTTCTGCTTTCTCCCCTCTCCCCTGTCTCTACCCCCAGGCACATGGCCACCCACTCAGCCCAGAAACCCCACCAGTGTATGTACTGTGATAAGATGTTTCACCGCAAGGACCATCTGCGGAACCATCTGCAGACCCATGACCCTAACAAAGAGGCCCTCCACTGCTCTGAGTGCGGTAAGAATTACAATACGAAGCTGGGCTACCGGCGCCACCTGGCCATGCATGCTGCCAGCAGCGGTGACCTCAGCTGCAAGGTGTGCCTGCAGACCTTTGAGAGTACCCAGGCCCTGCTAGAGCACCTGAAGGCCCACTCACGCCGGGTAGCAGGCGGTGCCAAGGAGAAGAAGCACCCCTGTGACCACTGTGACCGGCGGTTCTATACTCGTAAGGATGTACGGCGGCACCTTGTGGTGCACACAGGCCGTAAGGACTTCCTGTGCCAGTACTGTGCCCAGCGGTTTGGCCGTAAGGACCACCTGACGCGTCATGTCAAGAAGAGCCACTCGCAGGAGCTGCTCAAGATCAAGACAGAGCCCGTGGACATGTTAGGCCTACTCAGCTGCAGCTCCACAGTCAGTGTGAAGGAAGAGCTGAGCCCTGTGCTGTGCATGGCCTCTCGGGACGTAATGGGGACCAAGGCCTTCCCTGGCATGTTGCCCATGGGCATGTATGGTGCCCACATCCCTACCATGCCCAGCACGGGCATGCCACACTCCTTGGTGCACAACACACTGCCCATGGGTATGAGCTACCCTCTGGAATCCTCACCTATCTCTTCCCCAGCTCAGCTCCCTCCAAAATACCAGCTTGGATCTACCTCATACTTGCCCGACAAATTGCCCAAAGTGGAGGTGGATAGTTTTCTGGCGGAGCTTCCTGGAAGCCTGTCTCTCTCATCCGCTGAACCCCAGCCCGCCTCACCTCAGCCGGCGGCAGCTGCGGCCCTCCTAGATGAAGCACTGCTTGCCAAGAGCCCTGCCAACCTCTCTGAGGCCCTCTGCGCTGCTAATGTGGACTTCTCCCACCTACTGGGCTTTCTTCCACTCAACCTGCCCCCGTGTAACCCACCTGGGGCCACAGGAGGCCTGGTCATGGGCTACTCCCAGGCCGAGGCACAGCCCCTGCTCACCACTTTGCAAGCTCAGCCTCAAGATTCCCCAGGAGCTGGGGGACCACTGAACTTTGGGCCTCTGCACTCCTTGCCTCCTGTCTTCACGTCTGGCCTGAGTAGCACCACTCTGCCTCGTTTCCACCAAGCATTCCAGTAGCCCCCACAGAGGCCCTCAGCTCAGTTTTTGGCTCTGTTAGGGAGCCTTAGTACCCACCCCATCCATGTCCCCCATGAAGGCAGCTGAGCTTTCAGAGCTGGGTTCAAAAAAAATTCCAGTGTCTGTATGGAGCACTTGGTTTGGGGGTTCAGGCTCCAGGATCAATTCCAGAAGGAGCCTTGAGCCCCAACCCTGTGAAAAGATCTCATACCATAGGACTTCAGGTATTTTTTACTTTTATTTTTTTGACCTGAATCGGGAGCCACACTTAGCCCTCTTCCTCTCCAAAGCGCCAGAACCTCCTCCTCTTTGGAGAATGGGGAGGCCTCTTGGAGACACAGAGGGTTTCACCTTGGATGACCTCAAGAGAAATTGCCCAAGAAGCCCGCCTTCTGGTCCCAACCTGCAGATCCCACAGCAGTCAGTTGGTCAGGCCCTGCTGTAGAAGGTCACTTGGCTCCATAGCCTGCTTCCAACCAATGGGCAGGAGAGAAGGCCTTTATTTCCCACCCACCCATGCATCCTGTACCAGCACCTCCATTTTCAGTCAGTGTTGTCCAGCAACGGTACCGTTTACACAGTCGCCTCAGACACACCATTTCACCTCCCTTGCCAAGCTGTTAGCCTTAGAATGATTGCAGTGAACACTGTTTACACACCGTGAATCCATTCCCATCAGTCCGTTCCAGTTGGCACCAGCCTGAACCATTTGGTACCTGGTGTTAACTGGAGTCCTGTTTACAAGGCGGAGTCGGGTCTTGCTGACTTCTCTTCACTTGAGGTCACATTTTTCCCCTGTGGGGAAATAAACTGAGTTTGGACTGCTCCAGTCTCTGCCATCTTCCATGACTGCATCTGTTCCTGCCTGCCTCGGCAGTGTCCACAGAAGACAGGCAAGAAGATTGGAGCAGTTTTCTCACAGGTCTGCAATTCTGTTTTTCTCCAAGTACATTATGACCCCCTCATCCTTCTCTTGAACTGGGGAGGGGAAGAAATGAAAGGCATGCCCATATCCGTCACCTCCCCATCCCTTAGTCCCCACCTTGAACATCATGAGCTGTTGTTACTAGTCTTGGAAGCAGAGTCTGGGTTGGTGTGGATAGCGAAGGAGGAGGTCTGAGCCCTTCATTTGTCTTCCTCCCACCTGTCCCTTTTCCAGGAAGTTGTGGAATTGTTGGAAGAAGAGTTTGCAGAAAGGAATGGGCAGATAGCTAAGTCCTAATCTATGGGTACATTGTTGTGTCCCAAACCAAAATTTTCCTTATCCGCAATGTCCCTTCTGTCTCTTCCACTTTACAGTGGACTCGGCCACTGTGCATAGGCTTCTCTGCTCTCCGTCAAATCACTTCTACTTCCTTGTGCCCCCGCCCCCGCCTCCAGTTTTCCCCCAGTATCCAGCAAGGTTTCTTGCAACAAATGATCAGTTCTTCTCTTCTGACTTGTGGGGCTCCCTACCGCAGAGAGTACAGCCCTTGCCCAGAGCCCAGGAACCCCATCCTTGCTTCATCTCAGTTCTTCATGGGCTTCACTCTTCCCACTCATGGAAGGGAGGCAGCTCAGGGACCTCCATTGTGGGACCCTTGAGACGCCTCCACTCTGATTCAGAAACACACTTCTACCTCTTTACTGTTAAGTCTTAACAGATGCAGTCAGCAGTTTCTGGGCACTTCTCTCAGTAGGTGTCTCCTGCTGACTTCTCCACTAGGGTTTCAGGACAAACTACCAAGGAACTGCCTCAGCCTCCTACCAGTTCTCCCTCACCCAACTTCACTTGGTTTGTCATCAGGAACTGAGCAGGTGCAGGACTCAGGCTTCTGCTTCAGCCCAAGCCAGTACTCCTTGTTTGAGGTAAAAGCCTTAAAATTTAGCTCCCTAGCCCTTGATTGGAAGCAATTTGGAATAAGTGTGTTTCGATTTAGGCAGGGTAGCTTGGGATACCTTTTAAAAAACAAAACCAGATATTAAAATGTCTGGCAAGGTTAGAATCAGACTAGATGATTTGCTTCTAAAAATTAGTTTCAGTGAGTCCCAGAGACTAATTAAGGTTTATTTTAAAAAGCGTCTACCTTGGTACGCAGCCACCTCCTGCATGCTGTGCATGTTATTGGGACTTGTATTATAGGCGATAGTATGTGAGAATCCAGTTGGGACTCGCTGTTGCCATCCTCCTTGTTGTATCTGGTTTTCATTACTAGACCCAGCAACCCTTCTCACCTTAACTGCCACCTTCCCTACACCCTCAGTTTACAGAGGCCACTGAGCCTCTGGCTGCAGAATACAAAGTCCTGGGCTGTTAGAGGAGTCCTTTCCTCTCTGCCTGCCCTTTCCTGTCCCTCCCTTGAATTCTTTCTCCCCGTAAGTGATGCTGGGAAAGTCATAGGACTGGCAAAGCAACTGTTTAAACCCTTGTAACTGGGGCCTTGCCCCCACCTCCTGTCTTTTCTCCTTGCCTTCCCCAATCCCGTGTCCTCCCATCTATCCTGTCTTTCCTTTCCTCCTCCCTTAGTGTCCTCAGCACCCACAAGGAATTTTCCTATCACTGTGAACTTTGCTGGTACAGGGGAATGATATCTGCCTTCACCTTTTTTTTTTGGACCATAGCTAGCCAGTCATTTCTTAAACCTCCCTTCCTAAAATCTGGGGGGGGGGGGGGGGGGAAGCCTTAGTGGCCTGGTTGTTCAATGCTTACTGAGGCCATGAGAACCTGAGGGACATCTGCCCAGGACACGAGCCATGGCATATGGCAAAGACCAATGAGGGACCAGGAAAAAATGGGGTGATGTCCCCTTTCCCTGCCACCTCCAGCCTCTGTCAGCAATGAGCTGTCTCCCTCCCACCCTACACAGTAGCTGGTCAGGGCTGAGTGCAGCCCTGGGGGTAAGGGGATGACATGCCCAGGTGTCAGCTCAAAGGATCTCTGCATCATCTTGAGGTGGGAGGCAGAGAAAGGAGCACCAATGAGGTTGCCCCCCTCCCCAACCTTTTACAAATGGCATTTTCTTAATTGAAATCCGGGAAGCAGGTGTGATTACTTTTTTGCTCGTAGATATTGTCCTAAGTTGGAATTCTCCCACTGCCCTAAAGCTTTCCCTAGTAGTCCTTTAAATTCCCCCCTGCCTTTTTGGTAGCTGTTTTCTCCATCCTCTTTCCACCTCCCCTCTTATCTAGGAGCTGTTTGTAAGCACGATTTTTTAACAGGTTATATTGTACAGGATCAATATTTTACTTTTTAACAAGGATATTTATGTAACAAGAAACTTTGCCTTAGGCGGGTGTTGGCCAGAAAAGTCCAGATTCCTCTGGGACCCCACCCTGGCCTCTCCTGGAGCTCTGAACCTGCTGTGGAAGGAACTGGCCGTGGCCTTCGCCTCTGGAGAGTAGGGCCTGTGGTGAGGGAAGGGCGCTCATTCACCATGATAGTCTTGTGCCTCCCTGGAGGGCTTGGAAACATTCCAGTCCGACTTCTTTGTGTGCCGGCTGACTTCCTCAGCTCATGCTTCCCACGTGCACCTCTCCACCTCTGCATATTTGGCACTAGAACTCCTGAGACACCACTTCTCATGCTTCTCCCTCCCTACCAGCGGTCAAGGCTTTGTAACTCCAGATTATTTAAAGAGAAAAATACAAGACAGAAATCTTCTAGCACTTTGTAAACACAGTGAATAACCTCTCGGAGTATTTTTGGCTTTATATAAAACAAGGTTTTTAATTGTAAAGTATAAGTGCCATTAGAAAATGCACAGGGCATATCTTTGTTAAAGTAGATTTTTCAATGTTTTACAGAATTACATTTTCAAAAAAAGGTTTTTATAATGAAGTTGTTTATTAAAAACTTCTGAATGATGTGTTTGGGAGTTGTGAACCTGTCTGATTGGGAAAGGGTTGGAGACAGCCTGGAATTGGGAAGAATTGGAGTCTCCAGACATCTTTAGCATCCAAGATGATGGTGAGTGTAGGCAGACAGTAAAACCCCTCCCATCAGCACCTACAAGCTTTGTACTTTTAAGTTAAATATCTTATTTGCGTGTCTTTGAGGTGAGTGGCATAATTCTATCAATCATCTTGGATGCAAGGGTCAGCCAAAATCAAACTGGCTTTAAACAGTGAAATTGCATGTAACTGGAAAATGCCAGACGTAGAGCAGTCTTTAGGTTAGGCTTGATCTTGTGGCTTCAACATGGTTGGCCTCAGCATTCCTATTTCTCTCTGCTCTGTCTTGTGCAGTTGTGACTGCATCCACAGGCCCTACAAAGTAGATTTCCCCTTTGTGTGGGAGTGAGCAGAATGCGGCCTGGATTCCAGACCTGCCATTCTCACACATTGCCGACCAGAAGGAAGCAGCCCTTTCTGGGCTTTCAGGAGAGGACTTGCCACAGAAGCCCCAGTAAGCATCCTGTTTCATTGGCCTTGATGGGATTCTGTGCCATCCCCAAACCAGTTACCATATGCCCCTGACAACAAGGCTGAGACAGGAGGAGTGGTTTCTCAAAGGAAATTTGGGGCACTCTTAGGATGAGGAATTGATGCTGCTTGACCAAGAAAGGACAAATGTTCACCCTAGTCACTGCCCAAGGTGCACAGCTGGTGACAGCTAGGACCTGACCTTACCTACACTTGTGTCCAACCACCAGGTTCAGGCAGACTGCTGAGAAGCTTACATGGCTTCACCTGAGCTTGGTGGTCTCTAATGAAGGTCGTTACCACCATCTTGGGCACCAACCCTTGTGCTGAGATCCTCCCATCAGGGGCTCAGACTGAACTGGCTTTTCTGTGGTGTGGAGCCAGTGTCCATGGCCAAGCAGTGCAAGTCACTTGGAGTCCAGCCCAAGAGCCTGTGGGGCCATTAACAAGTGCAGGTGTTTTGTGTACAAAGGAAGTGGGCTGACCCTTCATCGTTGGCCTTCCACTTGACGCGTGTTCACTGTCCACCCCAATAAGTTAAATCCCTAGCTAGGACCCTAAGGAAATCTACCTTGCTCCCTAGGGAGTGTATACCACAGTAAGGTCTGAGGGCTCAGATGAGGGAACTGTTGTATCCATTGGTCAGGAAAAGACTGAAAGCTTTCTGGAAGAGGTGGCAAAGACTTCCAGGCAGAGGTGGGGGGATTAGAGGTACTGACCTCCACAGGTCACAGTTTGGGAACTGAGACCAGAGGAACACAGATTTGCAGGATCAAGGACTGCGAGGGCTGGCCAATCCAGCCCTTAGCCTACCAGGTTCAGTCCCTGCACTTCAGGCTAGAGTCCACCTTTGGAAGGGTAGTCTTTGGGCCTAGGACAAGGTGAAGCAAGGTCCACCAGGCTTCTGCCAGCCAGCCCAGGAGGCAGGTGCCAGGCAGATGGAGAAACCAGGCAGATGCCCACTCGCTCCCTGGTTTGTAGCATTTAAGACCCTCTCTCACCCCAGATTCTTCCACTCTGACCTTGCTTATTTTCTCCACATGAATATTTCAAGCACCTGCTTTCCCTGCATTCATGCTTTCCCTGCATGAATGCGTTGACCACCTTTGTGTGTGAGAAGATTATCTGCCGCTCCCAGTTTAAGGTTGGTCAGTCTTTGCAGGGGATACCTCTTAAGCCCTCTGCATGTGCCTGAGTTAATTCATCCAGTGCAAAGCTGAGTGTCCTACAACTGCCCAAAAGCGCCACTAGAGTGTGGAAGCCGGGCGACTCCTGCCTTCCCACCGCAGATGGGGAACATTGAGCAATCGCCTGGCGTGGTGGCTGTGATGGGAAAGTTTTAATTGTCCAGGGCCAGGGACTGGGCCTATCCCCTGATGTTTGCTCCGAGCTGACCCTTGCTTGGTACACACTTCTCCCCACCTCCACCGCCAGCGCCAACGAATCTGGGGCCAGTTCCGTCTGGCGCCCGCGGTCGCGTCCCCATCGGGCAGTCCCGTACCCCTCCTCCGGGCCTCCAGGCCGCTCGCCCCGGCTGCGGGGGACCCCGGCGAATCACATTCGAGAGGGGGGCGCGTGGGGCGGAGCCTTCCGCCCGCCGTCCTCCCGCTACCTGCCGCACCTCTCGCCTAGCCCGCAGTCGCCCGCGCGCCCTGAGCCCCTCCAGGTCAGAGGCTCCCGCAGGCGATGGCGGACGAGAGGGCGGGGACTCCGGAAGCCGCGGCGCGCCCGCCGCCCGGCCCTGCCCGAGAGGGGGACGCGCACACGGCCCCCGCGGCCCGGGCCCGAGAAGCTGGGGGGCGCAGGTCCCTCCACCCCGCAGCGGGCCCCAGGACCGCCCTCCTTTGCCTCGGGCGCGGGGAAGCTGCCTCCGCGGCGACTACTCCGAGCCTGGAAAACGGCCGGGTCCGGGACGAAGCCCCAGAAACCCGTGGTTCAGAGAGGCTAGGGGCTTGGGCGGGAGCCGGCGAGAAGGCCGAGGACGCGACCATGGAGGAGGGCGCCATCTTCCAGGAGGAGCCAGCGGAGGAGGTGGAGAAGCAGCAGGTGGGGGAGAAGCTGGTGGGGGAGGAGAAGCAGGAGGTGGGAGCGGAGGCCCAGGAGGGCCCGGGGCTCCTGAACCTTGGTGCCCTAATTGTGGACCCACTGGAGGCCATGAGCGCCCAGGCCGACAGGGCTTACCTCCGGCTAGAGCGCCGATTTCGGCGGATGCACAGGTTGCACCTTGCCCGTAGGAGCTTCATCATCCAGAATATTCCGGGCTTCTGGGTCACCGCCTTCCTGAACCACCCACAGCTGTCAGCCATGATCAGCCTTCGGGATGAAGACATGCTCTGCTACCTGATGAATTTGGAGGTGAGAGAGCTCAGGCACTCCAGGACAGGTTGCAAATTCAAGTTCCGCTTTTGGAGCAACCCCTACTTCCAGAACAAGGTGATAATGAAGGAGTATGAATGCAGAGCCTCAGGCCGAGTGGTGTCTGTTGCGACTCGCATCCGATGGCACCGGGGCCAGGAACCCCCGGCCCTCGTACACAGGAACCGGGACACTGTCCGAAGCTTCTTCAGCTGGTTTTCACAGCACAGCCTCCCAGAGGCCGACAGGGTTGCCCAGATTATTAAAGATGACCTGTGGCCCAACCCCCTGCAGTACTACCTGCTGGGGGATAGGCCCTGCAGAGCCAGGGGAGGCCTTGCAAGGTGGCCCACAGAGGCCCCTTCTAGGCCCTACGGGTTCCAGTCTGGCTAAGTGTTGCCTTGGGATGTGGGGCCTACGTAAGGCTCCCTCATGCCTCCTGTGTGTGGTGGATCCGGGCTCAGGCCCGTGGTGGGCGCTCTGCTGTCTGCTGTGTGTTCTGTGCACTCCGGCTCTGCGTGTTCGGTGGACTCAGCTCTCAGATTGTGGCCCTCGTGGCCAGTCTCTACTGTTTCCATATGGCCTCATGCTGTTCTGTGTAACATCACGTGGCTGTCACATGCCGCTACATCTACACTAAGCACCCAGTGTTGTGGATGTGCACTGCCATAATCTTTATGGTGTGGACCTGTGACCATGGCCATCCCAGCCAGTTTTGACGAGGGCACCCACAAGTCACTACTTGAAGGACAGTGCCTCTTTGAGGCCTGTGCTTCAAGACTCCAGCCTGCTGGCCTTCGCATGCATGCTGGTCGTGCTCACAGTAGCTCTACATCCGGGCTGTGGCAAGCTGAGTCTCATTACCCAAGATGAAGTGGGTTCATTTGGTGCTGGGTACCACCCAGACTTGGACATTCCATGGCCTCAAGAGCACAGGCTACCACCAAGTGGACTCTTGGGTATCTGGCAGGATGAGCACACAGCTGTCTGCTGGGCATGGGTGACGTCAAGGGCATGAAGCAGTGGACAGCACATTCTTTGTGATCATACTGCTCCTCCTGCCCCACGGTGGTCTGAGATCACAGCCTGCTACTAGCTTGTGAGGGTCTGTGCCATGCCCCAGCAATGCCTGGCCATCTCCTTTCCCAAGAGTTTTGCCCAGGCAACCATCAGCCCTGTTGCTCGCTCCCAGGTCTACAGGAACCTCCATAGCTGCTTGTGGACCCAGGTGGGCCACCTGCCAATGCACAGGAGAGCCCCTAATCCCCAGGAACTCTGCCAAACTGGCCTATCTGGGCATGTGAGTGAGGCAGGGGCAAGGACAGGATCGCCTCCTGAGCCCACGTTACTGGACCCCACAGAATCCAGGTGCTCTGCCAGCCCCCCTGCCTCTACCTGTTAGGCTGCCAGGCTGTAGATGCTGGGGAGGGGGGTCTTCCTGGTCCTGGGGCCTGTCTATCCATACCCAGATCTCACACCATTTTTTTCTTTAAATGATGGCTTAGAAACAAAAAATAACAACTGAATAAAAAGATTTTTTCTTAAACTCAACAAGAAAGACTTTCGTGTTGAGTTTGCCTCTCTTCGTCTCCAGAGAGGGAGGGTTTGCCCTGTAGACCGCCAGCATTCTCTCTTCCCCGATACCTTACCCTCTTTAGCAAGGCCTAGAATCTTCCAAAGGGGACAGCCCAAGGCTGCTGAACAGAGAGACCAGGAAGTCTCCAGGGCAGGGATAGTTAATATTCCATTTTATGCTGTGTTCTTTTAGACTAACCCCAACTCTTTCTTACCCTTCCACCAAGTCCAAACCCCTCTAGGTACAAGAGCTAAGCTGCCCAACCCCCTTCCCCCTGCTTGCAGAGCTGTCTGTCTCCATTTCATTTTAGGGGAAGGGGTGGTGGTGACCATACCCAGGCCCCTTCCCATGGAAGGCCTTATCTTCTGTTCCCTAGGACCTGGGGAGGCCTTATCACAAAATAATGTGGAGGGTGCTTTTGGCAGGGAAGTACAAAAGGAGCCAGAGCCAGTTGAAAAGGCAGGATGACTGAGAGATGGTGGAAGGAGGAGAGCCCTTGATTTTGGTTAATAAATAGAGACAGGGTCTCACTATGTTGCCCAGGCTGGTCTTGAACTTCTGAGCTCAAGCGATCTGTCCACCTTTGCCTCCCAAAGTGCTAAAATTACAGGTGTGAACCACTGTGCCTGTCCGATTTTTTTTTTCTTCAAGACAGGGTCTCACTCTGTTGCCCAGGCTGGAGTGCAGTGATGCAATCATAGCCTCGAACTCCTGGGCTCAAGTAATTCTCCCATCTCAGCCTCCCAAGTAGCTGGGACTACGGGTGTATGCCACCATGCCCAGCTTTTTTAAAAAAAAATTTTGTAGAGACAGGGGTCTTGCTTTGTTACCCAGGATGGTCTTAACTCCTGGGCTCAAGGGATCCTCCCACCTTGGCCTCTCAAAGTGCTGGGATTACAAGTGTGAGCCACCGTGCCCAGCCCTTGCTAACATTTTTGATTCACCAATACGTTTTGTAAACTAGAAGAATAACAGAACACTGCAACTTGAAAGCTTTTCTCTCTTGGTCTGACCTTGTGTGTGTAGAAAGTTAATGTTGTAAGCTTTTCTTCTGCTGCTTTTAAGTAAGACCCTATGCATCCCCTCCTGTGTTTCAGCCCATTGGGGCATTATGCTGTAAAGACCTGCTTGTTGCTTTTAGTTGAGAACTTTTGCAAGATTGTCAGTGTACATTTTTTATGCCACTTGGGAACTTATGTGACTATTCACAATTGTTGTCAGGTTGTTGGGGCCTTTACCATAACCTTGTACTTAGAAGCAGAGTTCTGGTTTTGTTGGACTTCAGACTGGAAGCTGTGACCATGTTCTATAAGGATAACCTCCAGAAAGAATTCTGTGACCCTGATGGTCTTGATGATTTTGTGCCAGGTTGTAATTGACATCACTGTAACTGACAACGCTTCTTTTAAGCAGAGAAATATTCCTGAGGTGGCTTTGTCCAGTCACAAGGGGATCTGTGACACTTTTGTTTTCTATACGCATGATAAAAAATAAAAAATTGCCTGTCTGGCAGAAAAATAACTTAGATCATGTTACTTCCCCATCCAAAACCCTACACTGGTTAAAAATATGTATCTATAGTCCGGGCGCGGTGGCTCATGCCTGTAATCCAAGCACTTTGGGAGGCTGAGGCGGGTGGATCATGAGGTCACGAGTTCGAGACCAGCCTGGCCAACATAATGAAACCCTGTCCGTACTAAAAATAGAAAGATTTGCTGGGTATGGTATGGTGGCAGGTGCCTGTAATCCCAGCTACTCAGGAGGCTGAGGCAGGAGAATAGCTTGAACCCGGAAGGCAGAGGTTGCAGTAAGCTGAGACCACACCATTTGCCATTGTGCTCCAGCCTGAGTGAAAGAGTGAGACTCCATCTCAAAAAAAAAAATATATATATATATATATATATATATATATATATATATATTCCTTATTGCAGGCAACAAAGCCCTGCATTTGCTGATCCCTCGCAGCATCTCTCATCCACCTCCACTTTGCTCTCTCTGCTCCCCCCACACTGGCCTCTCTGCTGTTCTTTAAACACACTAAGCATGTTCCAGCCTCAGGATTTTAGCACTTGCTTTTTTCTCTCCCCTAGCTAGGATTTTCCTCCTGCAGATATTCTTATCTCATGGCTTCCCCAATTCATTCAGACCTCAAACACCACTTCAGAGGCCTTCCCTGCCCAGCCTGTCCAAAATAAGCCTCTACCACTCCCTTCATGACTTTTTCCATGTCACTTGTAACTCTCTGAAATGATTTTTTTTTTCTTTTTTGAGACAGGGTCTCATTCTGTCCCCCAGGCTGGAGTGCAGTGGTGCTCTCTTGGCTCACTGCAGCCTCCGCCTCCTGGGTTCAAGCGATTCTCCTGCCTTAGCCTCCCTAGTAGCTGGGACTACAGGCGCCCGCCACCACATCTGGCTAATTTTTGTATTTTTAGTAGAAACAGGGTTTCACCACGTTGGCCAGGCTGGTCTCAAACTCCTGACCTCAAGTGGTCCACCCGCCTCGGCCTCCCAAAGTGCTGGTATTATAGGTGTGAGCCACCGCACCCGGCCTCTCTGAAATGATCTTTTCTTACCTTCTTCCACTTCCTTTCACATGTGGCAGGAGAACAAGCACACATGTTTCTGCTGCTTTGCTTCCCCATAGTTTAGTGTCCAGTGTCTCAAAGATCACTGGTATGAGTGACTGACTTTATTCCAGCGTTCAGAATACTGTGCCGGGCTCTGACAAAGGCATGGTTCCTACCCAAAGGATTTCAGTTGGGTGGAGAAAGGTGTGGGTGGTGAAGGGTGACTGTTTAATTTGCCATCCAGCTGGAACATATCTGGGAGTGAAAGGGTCACGACTAATAATTACACCAGGGCAAGAGGTGTAACTGGTACCCAATGGTCATCCAAGGAGACAAAACCCAACTGCATCCAACGTGGCTTATAGTTCACCAGGTATGTGACGATGTGGGATCAGAGGGTGGGGACTTCTCTGAAGTTGGGTCATGAGCTAGGTGTTGAGGAATAGGCAGTAGTTTAGAAAGTGGAGCCAGAGAAGGGAATTCCTGGCAGAGCGAACAATGTGAGCGAAGGCACTGGATGGGCAAATGTGCGGCGTGGTTAATGTAGAGCATGTGCTGTGGGTTTGGCTGCTTGGGAGAGGCAAAGCTGATGGGTAGATTGAGGCCACTTTTTTTTCTTTTATTTATCTTTTATTATTGTTTTCAAGAGCAATACCTGAAGAGGCCACTTTCTGAAACAGGAACTCTTGAATGCCAAGCCAAGGTATTATCCTGTGGATAGTGGGGAGGGGTATCAGGCGTGGTTCAGAGGTGGAGTGATCTCACAGGGCATGTCTGGAGGAGTGTCTGCAGTTATAGACCCCTAGTATCTTCAGTTTGAACCTTATCTGTCCATTTAGGCTACAGCTCTTCTAGGAAGTCCTCCATGATTGCCCCAGCCCACTACAGTCTTAGGACCAACTATCTTAGCACCAACTATAATAGGCATGAGATGACCATTCTGGCCCCTGCCCTCAGTGAGCTCCAGGATCCAATGGTGCAGCTGAAGAACACTGATAATAATCACCAATGTTTCTTAAGCACCTACCATGCACCAGGGCTCTATGTGGGTGCAGCAGGCAGAGTGTGGCTCTCTAAGCCTGAGTCAGACCATGCCCTTCTGCTCCAAACCCAATGGCTACAATATACAGAGGAAAAGCCAACATGCCCTGGCTGGCCTGCAAGACCCTCCTGATCTCACCTCCAGTCACCAATCCAACTTCATCTTCTATGCTTCTCCACCTCCAGACCACTTTCCAGCTCCAGCATCCTCTTTTTCTTTTTTTTGAGACAGTCTTACTCTGTTGCCCAAGCTGGAGTACAGTGGCACGATCAAGGCTCACTGCAGCCTCAACCTCCCACAGCTCAGGTGATCCTCCCACCTCAGCCTCCTGAGTAGCTGGAACTACAGGTGTGTGCCACCATGCCCAGCTAATTTTTGTGTTTTTTGTAGAGATGGAGTTTCACCATGTTGCCCAGGTTGGTCTTGAACTCCTGGGCTCAGGTGATCTGCCCACCTTGGCCTCCCAAAGTGCTAGGATTTCAGGCGTGAGCCACCATGCCCGGTCTACACCAGCCTCTTGCTAGTCTTCAAACCTGGCTGAAGACCTTGCTTCCCCTTCCCTCTGCCTAGACGTTGCTTCTCCAGGTGTTTGCATGGCCGGCTCCTGCCTTCATTAAGGTTTATCAGTTCAAACATTAGTTACGCCTCTTCAAGGGAAGCCTTCCCTGACCACCCTTTCTAAAACTCACCCTGTCACTCTCTGTCCCCTTTCTGTTGTAGCACTTAACAACCACCTGATATATTATATATTCATTTTATTTATCTGCTTTTTTCTCTACACTTTTCGGGATTTTTTTTTTTTTTTTGAGATAGAGTCTGGATCTGTCGCCCAGGTTGGAGTGCAGTGGCGTAATCTCAGCTCACTGCAACCCCTCCTCCTGGGTTCAAGCGATTCTCGTGCCTTGGCCTCTTGTGTAGCTGGGATTACAGACATGCACCACCATACGTGGTAATTTTTGTATTTTTGGTAGAGATGGGGTTTCCCCATGTTGGCCAGGCTGGTCTCGAACTCCTGACCTCGGGTAATCTGCCCATCTCGGCCTCCCAAAGTGCTGGGATTATAGGTGTGAGCCACCTCACCCAGTAGGACTTTGTTTTATTCACTGCTAAATCCCCTGTACCTAGAACAGTAACTGGCACAGGAAGTTCTTTGTGAAATGAATGAATGCATGCATCACATCGTTGAGGTTCAGGAGGGTTTTCCTGGTGGGTGAGGCGACAGCACCTATGAAGGCATCAGATGCCTGCTGAAGGCCCTTCCAGGGCTTGTATCTCTAGGGATAGGAACTCTCTACTGCTCAAGGCAGTACCGCCCTTTTCCAGGCAGTCTCAGAATTGAGGCAATAAATGTCCCAGGGCCCATTCCTGACCCCTACTACAGAGAGATGGCCATGTGGCCTCCACATGCTCCAAACATGGAGGAATGAGGCCAGGGTACAGAGGGGGCTTCCTGCTCTGGCATGGAGAGTGAACACAAGCCTTGGATTCCAGGATTCTGCTCCCCTCTGTCTCAGGTGCCTGCCCTGTTCTGTTGGCTGGGAAGGAACTTTGGACAGGCTCTTTTCAATCGAGAAAAATCTGTCCCGAAACTATGGCAATTACTTGTAATCTGCAACTGCCTTGATTACAGCTTGGGGGACTTTGATATTTTCCTCCAAGGATACCATTTCAGCACAAAAATTCAAGGAAGTCCCCGGTGCTTGCTTGCTTTTGCCCAGCAGAACTAAACGTTGACTGGAGTCGGTGAACTTTGAGGCCTCCACCCACAGGCCCCACCATCAAAGCTGACTCAGGATCTTGGGGCACAGGGCTGTAGTGCACCAGGCACCCGCTGGAAGGCTGATTGGCCTGTGCGGGGCTGCTCTTGCCACTTCCCCCTGCATGGCCTTGGGCATGTCTTTTCACAGCTATCAGCCCTTTTCTCATCCAAAGGAGAAAGTCAGAACTCCTTAGCAGGAGGTAAGAGTATCTTTAAGGTGCTCTCCTCCACATGCACCTCTAGCCCTCCAGGTGGCCAGCTCAGTGACAATGCTTTTGGTGGCATCTAACTGAACCGCTAATTAAGTCTTTTTTCCTTATATGAATATTCAGAGGGGAGCGAGACATTGGGGCTATTTGATCCATCAGCTCAGTGATGCGTCCAGGTTTGGGCCTTTTCTGATCTGCCATCCTTCTTGTTAGTTCCATCCTCAGGTTGGTGCCAAGATGGTGGCAGCAGCCCCAAGTGTCCACACTGGAGTATGGCAACTCCAGAGAAGGGCGACTGTGTCTTACCGTGACTCCTGTTATGATGGAGGAAGCCTTTCCAAGAAGCCACTGTAGATTTTCCTGGTCCTATACCTTACTGACTAGAACTGGGTCACATGTCCAGTCTTGAATTAGTTATTGGCAACGGGGAGCAGGGTAGTGGTAGACCAAGCATTGATGGGGAATGGATGTCTGCTCCTAATGTCCAGTGCCTAGAGGCAAGCTAAGACCACTGTCTGTAGGTGCTCACAGTCACACTTTGGCTTTTCTGTGAGACCCCACAGCTGGCACTTTCACCCCATGATGGCCCTCAGGGTTAGAGGGTGCCGACTTCTAGGCTAGCACAGGTCCAACTGCAAGGGTTCTGGACCTAGAAAGTTCCTTAAGTTGAGCCAAGTCACTGCCAAACTAAGATTCCTAGGAGGAAGGCCCTTTAGACTCTCCTTTGGTGAGTGAGGAGGGATTGAGCACCTATTGTGTGAGTGTCTCTTTCACTTCAGAGAACTTGACTGGGTGTGGTGGCTCACACCTGTAATCCCAGCATTTTGGGAGGCCAAGGCGGGCAGATCGCTTGAGTCTAGGAGTTCGAGACCAGCCTGGGCAACATTGTGAAACCCTGTCTCTACAAAAAACATAAAAATTAGCTGAGTGTGGCCGGGTGT